CTTTCTGGATTTTTAGTTTGGGTTCATGATCTCAGATATATGGAGCACCATCACTATTGCCAATGCATTTTTCTCTGTTCCTTTGGCAGCAGGCTGCAAGTAGCTTCTAGGTTGCTGTGTTAGGCACTTTCTTATAAGTCATCAAAATAAAGCCATCAATCCAAACACATGCCATGAAATTATGGAGTTTTACCACTAGTCTAAGCACCCATTATACTTAAACACAGTCCAAAACAAAAGCACATAGTCTACAGCTATAGTACAGCCACAAGTCATATCCTAAATACCACGTCTGTACCTCAAATATAAATCCTTACAAGCCATCAACCAAACAAGCATCATCATCCACACTGATAGAAATCAGAAAACTTTTAGGGCCCAGAAAATTTAGACAACAAAATTGTAAACTCTACGCAGGAGAAAAATGATTTTTATTACCCCTGTATTTCTGAAAGAATTCACAAAGTATGTTAAGAACCTGCAGCAAAATAAGGGATCGTATTTCCTCCTAAATAAGTAGTCTCCTACCACTGTGCAGAATTAATCTCAGTTGTGGAGAAGGGACACCACTGGCCCTCAGTGTGAGATCTCTCAATTGAGAATCAGATCTGGCTTCCTGCCAGGCAGGACGTTCCAATGGCGTGGGCACGGCCAAGAGCATTCACGTTCAATGCGCCTCAAACTTCAAGTCTGGAAAGAAAGGCTCCATCTACTCTCATATCAGTCTAAATTAAAAACAGTTACTTTCAACATCTCATTATGTGTTTATGACCAAATTATGTTAAAAACTAGAAACAAGGATTTTCAACTTTCCATGCCAGTACAGTAACATCAGACAGGTTCCTCTGTTACTTTTCCTCCAGACACAGGCTGAGGTATTTACATACCTTTATCTGAAAGGAGGGAAAAATTATTTTCAAGTCTCTTAAAAATAATTACCAAACCCAACAAATGTAAAGAAAATAGCTGACCTAAAAAATACATCCAAGGAAAGCTCAACCATTCTCAAGCTTAATTAGGAAATTCATCATTTTTTTATCACTTCCAACAATAGACATATACCAGATCAACACCTGTACATTCATTAATCAGCTTGAAATGAGCACCCTACTTTTACCCTGCTACAGAAACCAGAAGATGCATTATTCTGAAGCCATTGTATTACATTAGATGCATTATTCTTAAGCCATTGTATTACAGATTGCTTTGTAACACCAGCGCAGTAAGACTGACAATTAACTGTACTTTTAGAAAAAAACTACCACCAGCTACTTCTCCACAATTCAAAAATTCTGCCTTTTACAGCTCTGTTGTTTTACATTCATTTAATGAGTTACTGTAGTAGAAACATTACAATTGTTATGGAGTGCATCTTGTTGTGTTTATGGTCCTGTTCTCTGCTACGAAGCATTCTACTGCAATCAAATTATTCAGTGTCTTGTATCTTTGTCATATTTCATGTGTGGACAGAAAGGAATGCACTGTCACAAGAAAAAAAAAACCAAAAGAAAAAAGAAAAGGAAAGCTCTGTTTCACATCAGGCTTCTTCTAAGGAGTTGTATTTTGTTGTTCAGACAAAAAATCTTGGCATACAATAGCATTTCAATAGTAATGTTCAAATAATATTCAGAAAACTGTCCTTTTAGCTAAAAGTAGGGAGGTCTCACTAGACAAGATCATCTAGACCATAGTCACTGACCCCAATGACTGCCTTCATGCAAGATTCACTTCTACAAGCAGCATTCCAGTCAGACTATTCAGGTATCTGGGGCCACAAATGCAGGCAAGTGCTCACAGAATGAGATCTTGAGCTTACTGTGCACTGTGTCAACTCCCTGAACTCTCAGGGAAGTGAGACTCATTTCTGATCTCATATGAAATCCTATGTTGTCTTCAGCATCATTTGAAAAAAATCCACTTATAACATCTATCACATTAAATGTGCCAAAATAGAAACGTCAAAGGAAATGCAAAAGTGGACAGGAAAACACCAATTTCATGTTTTTTACCAAGCTAAATTAATCTTCAAAAATGTTCCTCTTTGGATTTTGAGAGACTGATTTTAGAGCAGTAATTTTTGCTTACACCGTCAAAACATACGTGTTTAACTGGATAGACAAATTCAATTCAATCTTAGGACCTTTTTGGCACCACAACCAACCAGAAATATGATTAAGACTCATCCTTGTGTCTCAAAGCCATACCAAAATCCAGTTTAGATAATGCAGAAAAGATCATTCATTTCAAAATCATGAACTTTCTGTAATTTTATGGGCATTTGATTGACGCGTATGATTTTAGACCAAGTTTAGAAGTTACATACAATTATGAAATAATGGTGATAGCTGTGTACTTTCCTCTTCTTAACAGTGTTATCAAGTAAGAAAAGATTACACGTTGACTTAACATAGCTTAATTCATTAATTAGCTCATTAATTCATATTTGTTTGCAATGAGGCTTGAAGACATGGGAGATCTTTCCAAACAATCACCATAACATGATGCAAAAAGGATGGCATCACTGCCTGACAAGGAACAAAAATCCATGAGCCGTCCACCTCTGCAACAAGTACCATGTTCACTCATTTCAGTACCAATGTATGAAACAGAGGACAAACTTTTACAAAAATAAACCCTCATGATGGAAAACTCTGTCCTGCAAAGTCAATATTTTGCCTTAGCTAAGCAATTTCACATGGAAATAGACCATACCCTGATTTTTTGCAAGAAAAACCAATCCTGCAATCCTACCTTGTTGGGTCCAACCAACCAATGAGGCACAGGTTCACAGCAAGTATGAACTGCCTTCTGCTGAAGGAGATTAAAGCATAATCTCTGTATTTTTGAAACTTCCTCTATGTGCTGTTGAAATGTTGAACTCCATCTTCTCCACAGCCAGTTAAAAACCAAGTGACTGCTGAAGAGAGCAAACCAGGACTTTTACAAATCTCCAACTCTACAACAGAATTTCAGCCTCCTTCGTAACGGGATGACCAATCTGGTACCAAAACTCACTTTGCAACACATACTACACTGGGCTGGAATTTTAACTGGGATTTCTGTCCCACTGAGCATTTTCATCTCTCAATTATGGAAGAACATAAACCATCACAGGCCAACATTGTGCTCTTACGAAAATATACACACTCCTCAGAATTATGATTTTCATAATTAGCATCCACATGCCAATTTCAACTTCTTGATATTCTTTACAACTATTTTTTTGAAAGTTGAGGGAGGATTTGAATTTATTAGTTTTTTTGACAACTATCCAGAATTAACTATGCCTCATTTCTCATACTGGTAACATTTCCTCAAGAAGATAAGGACTCAATTTTAGGGTTCTACACTAAATACCTTGACTCCCATAAATGTTCAGGCAGTTTTTAAACTTTCCATATCTCTTTTCCATACAGGTTGATCTGCACAAGCTCATGCAAGATACAAACCTGCACCTGCAAAAGCTGGTTTGGTGCTTCCTCTCCATTTTGACTCTTCTTCCAAGGATGCATCACTCTTTAATGAGCATAAAATTATTAACCCAAATTAATTCACCTGACTGCTAGTGAAGGTTTCCTTAGACCTTTTATTAAATCAGAAGAACCAAACCACAATATATTCCTCCAAGGGCTATATTCCAAAGCACATCAGCATGGCTCATATGGACCAGCACTGTGGAAGCCCTAACCACAAGTTACCAAAAAAAGCTGCCTCCATTCTAAACTAAGGAACTTACTGGATAATTGAAGCAATTTCCTGATTTCTCCCTGCATTCAGACATTTTCCCGTTCAGAAATTTTCAATTATTATTTGCCTGTGTATGCAGCTCCTGCTGTCCCTTACTTGACGATGTAGCCGGCACACATTTTTTTCTTTTCTTTTTACATCTCAGTGAACACCTTATGTTTTAGGCCTTAAAACATGCAATGCTTCTGCAAAAGGCTGCTTCGATGCCCATTTTACATAAGGAGCATATATCCAAGCATAAAGGAAAAAGTCACATTTTTCTGAAAAATGTACACATATATATCCTCCAAAAACACGCTTTAAAGACTCATTACTATTTATTACACACTTATTTCTGTGTTAATATTCCAACCCAGCAGAGAAATACCATAGCCAAAATTTCAGCTTGGTTTACTGATGAGGAACTGGAAGTTGTGCAGCGTAAACAGCAGTATCATACTAGATCTGCTCTGTACCCAACGTTAATTTCTCATCTGTGTTCATCAAGACAATGGGATAACATGTCTCAGCTTTACCTTTTCTTTGCTGAACTGGCAACGCAGACAATATACTGTCCCTGAGCAAGTGAGCAGAACACATCATCTTACCAGAACACTGCATGCTCAGATCAGGTTTATTTTTTAGCTGCAAAAGATTTTGTTCATATTTTCTCACTTTCACAGAAAGGAATTATTCTAGATCGCAGCAACTTTTTATGCATTTACTGGCATTGAGATAACACTACAATATCTCACAGTAAAAAAGTAACTCCCCGGTCATTATTCAGATAGAGAATCCTGAGATGAGATTGTTCAAGTGTTTTGCACCCAATAAGGGAAAACGTTAGCAATTCTCAGCTTCACCTGTTTGCCATTACAGTGAAATAGAGCCTGTCTGGTTTAACTGCTGCGTGTATAAAGCTTACATTTGTCACTGCCTTGTTACACACCACAAAGCCGTGGGTCAAATTATACAGGAGCATCTCCTTCCCAGCATAAAAAAACCCCAAAAATCGACCAACCAACCAAAAAAAAACCCCACAAAAACCAACCAAAAACCCCAAACAAACAAGCAAGTAAAAAGCAACCAAGAGAACATTCAATCTTGAGACGATCAGGAGCGGGAGCGAGACAGAAAAGAATCAGAGACGATCTTTGCCCTAAACTTAACACCCCAGCAAGACCTGAAATCTGTATTATTTATCTTCCAGGCACTGAACCTGAGAAAGGAAACAAAGCAGGAGCACTCTAAGGAAAAGAGCTGTCGGTACTCACCTAGTGCCAAGGACCAGAGCAGGGAAGAGAGGCAGCACGTAACAAGCAGCGATGAATTTCATCCCGGCCCTCCTCCGCTCGCTCCTCTTCCTCACAGCGCCTCCGTCCGCGTCTCCTCCAGCCTCGCCTCGCCCGGGGAGCTGCGGACAGGTTCCGGCAGGACAGACAGACAGACGGCGTGAAGGAGAGAGCTCCGGGAGCGGGGTTCGAGCTCCGGCAGCGGTACCAGGGCACAGCGAGCCGGCGGCAGCCCCGAGCCCGCCCCGCCGCTCCAGCGCCGGCGGCTGCGCCAGGACGCGCCCCTGAGGGGCGGCCCGGGAGGGATTAGGGCGTGAGGCGCGCGGCTCCGGCCCACGGGAACGGCGGGCCACGGCCGGGAAAGCCCTCCTGGAACAGAAAATAAAATAAAAAATAAAATAATGAGGAAGCCGCAGTTAAACCACCAGCGGTATTTTGCAGTTAGTGTCTTTATGTGCTGTGAGGGTAAACAAGACAGGTGATAGGGAGGCAGGAGCTGTTCCAAGCGGGTGTGAAGCCCCAGAGCAGCCCGGCACCAGTACACGGAGTCCCGTGTCATTTCTGCAAAGCGGGAACGCACAAGCTGCTCTTTCCATCAGGTGTTCGTTCACCCCGTGACAAGTTGAAGGTAGGAGCAGAAGGAGCTTCCAGAATAGGATTTGGAACAATGTCATCCCTAAAAGCCCTTCATCACCTGAAACAAAGAAATAAATAACCTTCTCCTGTTTCCTGAGTTTGTATTCTCCCAATCTTAATCGTAAATTGCATAAATCAGCAAATTTGTTTAAAAATGTTTTCAGTGTGTAGATAATGGCCTACCTTAAAACAAGTTCATCTGATGGCAAATCATATGAAAGTAAAACATTTAAACAGAAGGAATCTTTCTCTGCAAGACCACAAAACCCCAATCAAACAAACTTGTCTGCAAGTGAAGGAATGGTGCTCATTACAAGAAACTTGAAAGATATCTAGTCACCTATGGGCTTCTCTGCTCTTACAAAAGACATCCAGAAACTACATTATACATCACAAGCCTAAAATAAAAATTTCCTTAGTTTAAACTGGTTAGTCACTGCATTCAGCTGTTTATTGCAGAGTAATTTTGTATTCCATCACAGAAAACAGAAATTCACTGTTTGAAATGAAGACTTTTTAAAATTAGCAGTGTCCCTTAATAAGATGTGTACATGGTGAATACAAACAAAATTAATAAATTACATCCTTCAATAGCAAACTGAGAATGATGTGAGGTAAAACAAAAAAATGAAAAGGTGATATAAACAGCCAAAAAGGAACAAAATAATTAATTTCTGACTTTCTGTGTCCCAACTCTAGTATCTTTCTCAGCACACCTGGCAGCACACTCTATTCAACCACATGAATTTGAACCTTTATTTATTGTTATTTTGATGCTACATACCAGCTTGAATGAACAGTCATGTTACCATGGATACTTATAATAGCATGGTAAAAAGGTCATAAAAAGAACTGTTAGTTTGTCATTTTCTCTTCTAGAAAGAGCCAACATTTCCAGTCTACCAGGCACTTCATAGTAATGTATCAGCAGCTAATAATTATTTCATCTTCTTATTGTGAAAAATGCTTATTTTATGATTGGCTTCTCACAAACATCAAAATGAATATTATGTGTTATGTTAGAAAGTTATGCTGTATTAATCTTCTTAAGTAATGTATTAAATATAGTTTTAGGTTATAACATAAGGTTGAAATAGAGTCTGTGCTATGTAAGATACTTTTTTTAAAGTGAGGACTCACACTGAGATAGCAGCCACAAGACACCTGAGAATTTATTGCTCTCTTAGCAGAAAAAACTTAATTCTTCCTGCCTGCTCAGCCCTGAAGACACTGTCAGGATTGAGAGGAAGAAGCTGACACTGCCCAGCCAGAATCCTGTGTTTGAATGGAATTTATGCATCATGGATGAGCTGTATGGATATGCAACAGGCTGTTGCTTTTAAGGGTTAATCCTCTGTTAATGTGGGGCCTTTTTCAGATTTGTGCTGCCCAGAAAAAGGTACCCAGACATCTGTAACTCTTTGTTTTTATTGTCTCATATTGTCCTAAACCAAATTGTCCAAAAGTATTATTACTCTAATTATGTTGCTATTTTTATAACCATTTTATTACTATTAAAGATTTAAAAGTTTAAAAACAAGTGCTTGGTGTTTTTCACCCTTTTATGTGCATTCATACAGAGTGGAACAGAGGGGAAGGTGCTAGTGCATTGAGGCAGTAAAAAATGCTGAGCCATCTTAAGTAACCTTGTGAAATTCTGCAACTCGAGGAACTATTTTTTAATTTTATTACTGCTCTGCCTCTTTCTTTGGGAAGAGGGGGTGGAATAGAGAGGCTCACTGGTGCTTCTTGGTTTCACCTCAAGGGTTTTTATCAGGCTTGCACGGGAGAATATCTCCACAAGTGGTTGAGTGGCTTCAGTACAGGCAGTCTGCAGCTGCCACACTGCTACATCACCCAGATATAACATCACCATTCCATGCATCATTTCTCCATCCTGTTCAGAACTGATTGGACACTCAGGAAGCTCTCGTGCTTCCCAGCACTGCTGCTTTAGCCCTGCTCTGAAGTGAACATCAAGACTGTCACAGCTTTACTTTGAGCCTGTAAACACCTCAAGAACTCAGCATACAGGGTTTGCAACAACTCAGGTTGGCCCATGGGAACCCTCAATCGACACAGCCAGGCTAAGCAGAGACTGCATCCCTAAATACTGAGCTAGACACAGGAACAGTTGCATCACTGTGAAGATAATGCTTAGCAGTAAATTGCATGTGGGACAAAAGGGAAACCTGCTCTTTTAGAGGTAAATTTCTATAATTAAGGGCTGGGCACCTAATCTTCAATGCTGTTCTTGTCAGACCTGATTGCACTACAGCTGTTTGCCTAAAGACACAAAAACCCCATCCTTTTCCTCCCTCCTATTGAGATAAATGACGTTGATCTTCACAAGTTGGAGAGGTTTTGTGTTTTGGTTGGGTGGTAAGTTGTTTATGTGAAAAACGAGGTTCACTCTCCTGGCAAAATTTAAAAGTTTAATGAAGGAAAATAGGCTACAAAAATAAAGCAAAGTTTAATGGCTGGGTGCTTGGCATAGAGCACACCTGCTACTTCAGAGGCACCCTTTACATACCTTTCCTATTGCATATTCAAAAAGAATTCTGCATATTTAACCATTTTCCCATACTAGATCACATGTTCCAGGACCTGTTTAGCATGGCTCCCCCTTGGGTCTGCCTTTTTAGAGCATGTGCATTTCTCAGCTGTGGTTTTTGCCTGTTCTTATTGTCACTTCCACCTTGGACTTTGGTCCATACTTTCTACAGAGAGCAGGTGCTGTGTCAGGGTACCTGTTGCTGGTCCCCCGACTTCTGGGACTCTGGGCCCTCCCAGGGGGCTCCCCTGTTGGGGAAGACCCTCCTGGAGCAGTTCTGTGCCAGGAAAGAGAGACACACTGGATTCTTTCAGTCTTCAGGTTCTTGTTTATCGTTATCTTATCTAGAGTTTTGCACGCTGTCCACACCAGGCTCAGTGCACTGGAAAAGCACCACAGAAATGGCCAACAATCTCTTGTTCCAAGTTCTTTTAAATCTAAACTATCCAATTAAGAACTGACACCTGGATTATTTTCCCTTTTAACCCTATAACTGATCCCAGAGAGCTGCAATGGGGACTTTTCTGCCCCATTACAAAATGCCACCCAAACACATGGAGAAGAAGGAAGAAGCAGCATGAAGAAGAAACCCAGGATGACACCCTGTGCCCTCCATCTTGCTTCCATCCACAACATCCTAAAAATCCCAAACCCTCAATTTCTCACCCAGTGATACACCCACACTGCTCTCTATAATCTATTGCACACTTTGGTGGATTCCAGTCTGTCTTGAAGCCTGGGAAACTTTCTCCATGGATGAGGGTCAGAGTCAGTGCTGCCCTGGGGGTCAGGGCACCCCAGAACAGACAGAGGAATATTCCAGGTGCTGATAGCTGGCATATCAGTAGCAGGGGTCTTCATCATACATTCTCTGGATGTTATCCCAACCAAGCAGGCAGTTCAATTACCACAAGCATAGCTATATCAGCTATTTCACTATTGTGTCTAAGTTTAGTTAACAGGAGAAACAGAAACTATATCTTTATAGCAAAGTTATTTTAACATTATACATATAGTATCCATTTTAATATTTGCAAAAAGCCAATATTATAATGTGCATTTATAACATTTAGTTGAGAGAAGTAATGTGCATCTTAACAATAATATATCAATACCAAAAACTGAGAATCGTTTGCAGATTTTTCTTAGACATAGACTGTAGTTGATTTATTGTGCTGTGTACACTTAATGATCAAATATGTGCAACAACTTCAAAGATGTTATAGAAATATTCTATATGAACACACAAGACATGCAGAGCTCCTTAGAAATATCATCATTTTACGCTTGGAATTAAAGGCTTCCATTTTTTGGTTCAAATTAATTGGCAATATTACTAAATAAATAATTACTCCTAGCTTAGCAAGGAAAAGATGATTTTATATGCCATTAAAAAATTGCATCGGAAATACGGAAGTATTACTGCAAAATTCCAAGGCACTTCAAACACTTGTCACATAGGTTCTTGCAAGTTTAGCCAAATACACCAATAGTGTAGGAATATTATTGCCTACCTTGGAGAGGAAAATGAACCAACTTTCTCCCTTTGCAAAATACAACACATTCCCCAGGTTCACATCTGTTTTGCCTGAGCTGCTGTGTGAACCTTTTGGGTTTTTCCTTCCCTGAGACAGGAACTGGTGCCATTTTTTTTCCTTCCCGCCATGTTGCAGCTGTTGTGGTTTTTTTCTTTCCCTGGCTTTTGTTGTTGTTGTTTTGTTTTTGGTTTTTTTTATTGTTGTTGTTGTTTTTGTTCTGGTGGGGGGAGGAGAGGGTGTAAGGTCTAACATTTATTCACTATTTTTTTCCTGTGCTATGTGGGCAGTCTGTTTGTCAGTAAACAATTGGTTATATTTTTTTTTTTTACTTTCTTCCACTAATACTCATTTTCTTATTGGCAGGAAGAGATTGTTGGAACCCTTTTTTTTTTAGACAAAACATTCATTGCAGTGTGGTTTTCCTCCTAAACTTGTCTATAAACCAGGACATTAATTCATTTTGGAGTGTTCTCTCTCTTAACTTGTCTTAAACC